AAATGGGAAGCTGATACCAAGGGCTCAAGCAGAAAGATAATATTTTTAAAATGATGGCAACAAATGTATAAGTGTGGGTGACACAATGGGTGGATGTATGGATTGTGATAAGAGTTGTATGAGCCCACAATAAAATGATTTTTTTTAAAAAGATTGTTTTGGTGATGGAACAACTCTGTATCCTGAGAATATCCTGAGTGATAATAAGATAAAATTATGTATAACTACACACACACACACACACACACACACACAGAGTACATGTAAAACCAGTTTAATCTGGGTAAGCCGGCCTGTGGACTCTACCAATGTTAACTTTCTTTAATATTTTACTATAATATTATTTTAATATTGCACTATAGCTCTGTAAGATACTACCACTGAGGAAATTGATCACAAGGAAACCTCTGCATATGATTTTTACAGTTTGTTACGAATCTATAATTATTTCAAAATAAAAAGAAAAATATTTTAAGTTGGCAAAAAACAAAAAGAAGCCTGGATTGAGGCAGCAGCCCCAGTACCCATGTCTGGGAGAACTTTTCACCCAAGTACACTAAAATGGGTAGCATTCTTCCTTCCTGCGACATCCAGCTGATGATGTTGCCAGTGAAGTACAAATCAAAAATCTTCGTCTTTCTCACCACCTAAGAACACCTCCATAACCCTATGTTCCAAATATATTAATATTTAATATATTTCTCATTTGAAACCCATAATTCATCAATCTCTAAGTCCTAGTTTATATTTATCTTGCTAATATTTATTGTTATTACCTGACTGGGGATCTGGTTTTCCTAAGAGAACATTGTGAGTTATGAACAGGACAATAATTTTAAACCCTGGAATATTTGAACTCACTTTCTCAAACTCCATTTGTAACAAAGAACCTTAGTGCATCTCAATTTGTCTCTTCTTCTCAGTAAATAGAACTACCATTGCCCCATGCCTCAATTTCCTCCTCCCTCAATCTTTCTCAATATCTCTTAACTTGACCAATGCTCATTAGCTGCTTTCAATCTTGCCTCCTCCAATCCTTCACTCACCTGACCCCCAGAGTATGTACTAGAATAAAAACCTGTTTCAAGAATTCTCTATTCATTATAAAATTTGTGAAAATTTGGATTCCTTAGCATAATGAATGTGACCACTAAGGCTCAATGGCTACCTACTTTTCTGACCTCACCTTTAAAATATGCCCTTAATCATTCTCTCCACAGTCCAGCAATACTAGTCTTGTTTTTCCAGTTATATGAGAGACGAAGCCCTTTTACTTCTCAGCCTTTATGTAGGCTTTTACTGCTAGCTGTGAATGTCTTCCCAAATTATCATAATGAACTCCTAACAAACAATCAAGATTCATCTTCGCTTTCTCGTGAAGCTTTTCCCAGTCTCTTCTCTTCACGGGCATGAAATTTACTACTTAATTCTCTGTACCTTGTGAACACAACTCTAGATGTAGAATGTTCAATGTCCTTAAAAGCAAAGGCTATGATTTATTCCTGTGGTAGTCAGTGCATAAAGCAGTACCAGGTATAACACACACTTTAAAAATTATTTATTTACAAAATAAAAAAGTTGTACAAAGAGAAAAATAAAACCCTTTCTACAAATAAGAAACCAGAAAGATAAACTCTTCCTCAAAGTTACAAAAGGGATTTATGTGAACATGACATTAAGGGAGATTTAGGGGTTCCTTAGTGTTTCCCTTCACCACATCTGCCTTAATTGAAATAACTCATAGTTAAATCTAGCATTAGAGCTTTAGGTTCCAAGAGCTACTTAGAAAAAGAGAGGCACTCCATGAGTTTTAAAATACTGAGAAAAAGTGCAAAGTCATTGTTTGAGAATGGATTTTAGAAACCATCTTTCTTTGTCTATGTATGAGGGTAACTCATAAGTGTTGCTATAAAATTGTTGAAACTTTATTTGACAAAAATACCAGAATGTGCCATCACTGTTTTCATGTTTTCTTTGTAGTCATCCTTACAAGAGAAAGGCTGGTTTATTATTTCTAAGAGAACTTGTTTGCCCACTAGCAGAGACCTGTCTAAAATGTTTTACTTGAATGAATGGGGGCTCCCTGGCAATTCTCTTGACTTACCTTCACATCTAATAAAAGATGGAAAGAACTTACTGGCAGAACAGAGCTTCCCAGAACATCCCACCTCTACTAGCAAAGCTCGGGGTTCAAGCATCAAAGGAAGGACAAAGATCCAGGGAAAAGTAACCATTAAAACTGCTCAAGTTCTTTGATGTCTATCATCCCTCCGGACTCCCCCTAACCATCTCTGAGGGGCAGAGGCAGGAAGGAAAACAAACTCAAGAGGTGGACCAACTGGATCAAAGCCATACAGCTATAAAGTGTTAAGAGTTCATACCAGAATCCACATGTCCCAGACTCAGCCAAGTGTTTGAACATTGAGTAAAAATTTGAAAATTAAAGAAAATTATTTAAGAGCTATCACAGAATTTTATATTGAACAGTGAAAGGATGCAGAGGCACTAGAGACGAGTCTACTTCTCCCATGCCTGGCTGCTTGCTTCATGAGAAAGCCAGTCCTAAAACTACTCCCTCCCACACCCTATCCTCACAGGTCTTTGTAGCGCTTCTGGAGTTGAGCCTGGGCTTTTAGATCTTCTTCCTGGAGTTGCTTAGCCACCTGGAGATCATGTTGGACCAAGCGGTTTCGCTGAACATTCGATGCCAAGTGATGCTCAACTGCACAGAAATATTGAGATAAGAAAAGTTACAGTGGTTTGGCACATTAATAATAAACTTCATAGTAAACTTAAAAGAACCTAATCATTAACAAACATTTTACATCTATTACTTCATGTTATGCTCTCAACAATGCTACATAATAAACAGTATATGAATTATTATTCCCATTTTTGCCTTAAATAAAAAAGGGCAATAAAGTCCAATGCTCTGACTTTGATTACATAGTGAAAGAAGGACCAGACAGATATATTTTCTTTTTAATAGTTTTATTGGCATATATTTCACACATCAAAAAAATTTAGTTTTTCAACTATAGTAAGATGAGTTATACGGTAATTACAACAATCAATTTCAGAACATATTTTTCTTGTATTCATTGTTGGTAGGTCCCCATCTCCCCCTATCCTCTCTTGCCATGTCCCTAGGTAATTATTAATTCAGCTACTATCTCTACAGATATACTTATCCTGGATTTCATATCCAGAATATCATGCAAAGCAGGAAGCAAACAATATAAAACAATGAAGACTAAACAAAACATAAAAAAACTAGAAAAGGAAGCAGAACATTTTAAAATTGAAACAATTTTTAAATGGTGTGTTCACAATTTTAGCTCTCATAGCATTCCCTTGTTTGGATTTGGAGTTTAATATTTACAATCCTTGGATCACACAGGTTGGTGTGTTTCTTCCATGTGGACTTAGTTGACACCTCACTTAGATGGCTGCTTGTTTGCAGATAAGCCTTTTAGAGCCCATAGTTATTCCTTCTGAAAGTGGGGCACCATCTGGTTTCTTCACTACACTCTGCTATAGTACCCATATCTTTAATGATCTCTTCATAAGGACGAGTATGGAGCAGAACCAGATCAAAAGAATTAGTTGTTCTTAGATTACGGCGAGAATAAATATACATAGATTATGGCTAGCCTGATATATATTCATATGCCTCTGGCTCATATGTCTCTAATTCACTTTAGAGACTTTGGACATAATTTTCATTTTATAATAGAAAACATTATAAATCATACACCCCTGAGGCATGAGGTAATTCTATTGATAGTGCCATCAATTTATTCAATGGTATAGAATTTAAAACATTACTGAGAAAAGGAGATTTTATACAAGTATAAACTGGCTTCAGATAGAAATACATGAATTGATGTCTTGTACAGATTAAAATCTTAAATGACTGGGCACTATTTACAGACAGTGAGGATTGGTGATATGGCAAAACTTTCAATATCACCCATTCAAAGGGAGAACCATGCCTGCCATACTGATGCATGTTATAAGAAAGCAAGGAGGGCATTAAAATCATAAACATATGGTAGTCCTGGGCCACCTTAATTAGGCACCCTCAAAACAAGACATTTGAACCAAAGTCTAATGATCCCAATTCCATAATCTAGAGATAGCAGTCATTTGCTTCTTCTCACACTAGGCCATTAGTCCAAGGGAGTAAACCCATTCATTAAATCTGCTCCAAGTGAGTTTTAAGTAAAGCCTAGTTCGCTTAGTGGGGCTTCCACATCAAATCCTTCTTGTACAGGCTATGAAGGATGTTGTGTGTTTCAAAAAGGATAGAGTCCAAAGTCCAAGCAGTCTATACCATTTGGCCTGTGATACCAAGGGCCAACAGAAACTAGATCAAAAGTGTCCAATTAGGAACACAGTACCAGATATATTTTCTCCTTGGGGTTTATATAAACATTGTTAAGCATTTTTTCTTGATGGGAGGTTGCTCCACCCGGCTTACCCACCAACATAAATGTAATCACCTTTTCCCAGACACACGTCCCCACATCTTTTTTGAATTTCCAATAAGGTTCTTAGACCACTCTTGTCTGTTGATTTAGGGTGATCTTAGAACAATGCTGTATAACAACAACTGAATGGTCTTCTTCCTCTCCCCTTATCTTGAAAAACTGAACTCAGCTGGGGAGATCTCCTCTGTCATGAGTGCTTCTTTAAGATGAGCATATAAAGGGGGTGATATATGGTTCATGGATCCTAGGCAGGCTGTCGAAATCATTGCTTGGGAGACTGGCTTACAAGATTACATGACCTGGGAGCAGAAGCCTGCCTTCATCTTGGTGGTTTTTTTTCAATAGTGGACTCATGAAATATTTGTCCTTTTGTGATTCACTAATTTCACATAGCCATAATGGTTTTCCGGTCTACCCGGGTCATGAGTGGTTTCGTGGTTTCATTGCTGCTTTTCAGTTATGCATAGTACCCCAGTTGTGTGTAGGTAGCAGTTTCTTTATCTATTAATCTACTGATAGGCATTTGGGCTGTTTACAGCTTCTTGCTCTTGTAAAGTGTGCTGCAATGAACAGGAGAGAACATACATCTTTCTCTTATTTCTTTGGGTTATATGCCCAGCAATGGTATTGTTGGCTCACATGTTATTTCTATTCCTAGTTATTTTAGGTAGCACTATAGTGCTTTCCAGAATGTGCACATTTGCAAGTCCACCAGCAGTGTAAGAGTTCCAGCATTTGTTGTTTGCTGTTTTGTTTTGTGCGTTTTTTCCCTTTTAATTGGGCTAGCCTTGTTAAGTTTAAGGAACTATCTCATTGTTGGGTGTGTTTTTTTGTTTCTTTGTTTGTTTTTATTTTTTTTTAAACCCTAACCCTAACCCCTCATTGTTGTTTTAAATTGCATCTCCCAGATGGCTGGTGATCATGAGTATTTCCTTATGTATTTGTTAGTCATTCAAGGGTCACCCCCTTGTGAACTGTCTACACACATCCTTTGCCACATTTTAACTGGCATGTTTGTTTTAATTTTGGGATGTTGCAGAATTCTATAAACTTAGACAATTAGTCCCTTGTGCGTTGTGTCATTGGCTAAAACTTTTTCCCAATTTGTAGGCTCTCATTTTACTCTTGATGAAATCTTTTGATGTGCAAAGTGTTTTATTTTCAATGAGTCACAGCCATCTATTCTGTCTTCCATTGTGTATGCTTTCTTTATTATATTTGATAGTCTGTGTATGTCTTTCAATAGGGCCCTTAATTTTGTTTCAATTATCTCACAGATGATCCTTATAATTCTGAGGCTTACATTTAGGTCTCTAATCCATCTTGAGTTCATTTTTGTGCATAAGATGAGGTATGGGTCTTGTGGCACTCTTTAGCAGATGGAGATTCAATTTTTCCAGCATCATTTAATGTTTTCCGGTCCTTTGTCGAAAATCAGTTGCCCTTAGGTGGGTGCTTTTATTTCTGGGTCTTTCTTCCATTCGCGTGGGTTTCTCTTTCTTTCTTGTAATAATGTTCTGTAGTTTTCAGATCTTGTTTCTTTGGTTAGATTCATTGCTCGGCATTTCATCCTTTGTGTGGCTACTGTACATGGTATTATTTCTGGACGTCTTTTTCAGAGCGTTCCTCAGTGACATGTAAAAATCCAATTGTTTCCTGCTTGTTAAACTTGTATCTTGCTGCTTTATCAAATCCCTCACACGTTTCAGTCTTTTTGTGGAGTAGTCCTCGGGTTTCTCTCTCTATAAAATCCTATCTGAAAACAGGGAGAGTTTCATTTCCTCTTTCTCTTGAATTCTTACAGTTGTCTAATAGTTTTGGCAAAGACTTCCAGCATGATACTGAATAAAAGTGGTGATAACTGGCACCCTTGTGTAGTGCCAATTTTCAGGGGAAATGTTTTCAGTTTTCCCCCACAGAGCATATTAGGCACCGGTCTTTATATTATATAGAACAGATATGCTGACACCAGAGACAGTGTTCTTTCTAGTACCATATACCACTGTTCTATTCATTAACTACATTCTTCAGCATTTAATTTTAACATTAAAAAATGAATTAATGAACTAAAAATAAAAATTATTTGTAATGGTGGTGGTGCTTGTGAACCACTATCAAGTCAACTGCAATTCATGGAAACCCTATGTATTAGAGAGTGTATCTGCCACAGAGGATTTTCTTAGTTGTAAAGATTACAAAAGCAATTCACCAGGTATTTCTTCCATGGTATCACTAGTCAAATTCAAACTTTTATAATGAAACTTTTTTTTCAATTAAATATTTAAGGAAAGTAGGCAATCACAACCCACTTGTGCCACCCAGGCTTCTATTCATATGGTAGGTAAAATAATAAGTGCTTCTAAGTAACACAATCTTCCACTGTAAACACACAGATCTTCAGAAAGCTCAACAATGTGGCCTAAACTAGCTACCACTATTACCTGGAAAAGATATTTAGTTCACTATTCTAGGAGGAGGAATAGAGCCATATGTCCATTTTCTGTATAGCTCAGATCCATCTACAAACACTGTCCCCTGCTACAACACCGAGGTAAGGGGAAATATCAACTGCACTTTTCTTCCGTTGTACACACTCAAGTCTTCTACTCCTTAAGCAGCTTTTACTTCAAAACCCCGAGAACTTTCTAGGTGTAATTTATCTTAACAAATCCTTCATGATGAAGGGTGTTGTAGCCTGAATTATTTTCTCGCCTCACCCTGAGAAACCAGCTTCAAGCTATTACTGAAAAGAGAACGTTGGAGGAACGTGAATAAGGAGGCTTACTCACTCTCTTGTTCCTGCAGACTGTGAGCCAGGGTGTGGTCCTCCAGGACAGCAAAATCTCGGCAGACTGCAAAGGATGAGGGAGGAGGAATAGAAAACAGCTCATTTAGTAATATTTTAAAATAAAAAGATTGTGTTCACTTCAAAAAACTTAGTTCTGATATTTTAGGATGATCAACTTTATAACTTGCTCACAAGACACTCACTAGTTAGTACAGTCTTTATTTACAATAGTCTACGTGAAACCTGTTCAGTGCCAATTACATGTTGTCACAAAATAATGGTTAGCTCTGATTCCTGGCCTGTGGAGGAGATATTAACCACAAAGTTAGGTAACTAGCTAAGGGACATGGGTGATGTCCCTCTTATGCCTACAAAGGTCCCCATAAAAGAGGTTGGAAAGGCATCAGGCAACCATTAGACACCTATGAAGACCCCAAGCTGAGCATGCTCATACTCAAGCCCCAGCCAGGTGGGAGGTAGACCTTGGACATGCCAAACTAGGCCCAAGCTCATGACATCACCCAGGTGGGCCTAATTCAGCCAGTGGGGCCAACCAGTACCATCAACCGCACCTCCCAGCAAGAGGCTTCAAAAGCCTGACTATGGGAAGGCTGAGCTCTCTTACCCTTCTCCTGGTCAGAGGCAGGGGGAGCAGGAGGGTCTTCCTCCCCTGTGCAGGTCCCCATGTGCCTGCTCCAGACCTCCTCAGGACCCACAGACTCTTAGCCTCTAGGGTTCTTGGGCTTCTGGCTTCCTGGAATTCCAAACCACCACCCCACACACGTGGGCACTCTTTTTGCGTGGCTGCTTGTGCCCAGTTGTGAACTCCTTAGAGACTGTAAAACCAAATTTCTCTTGTCCTTCATAAAAACCCACTTGGATTACAAAATGAGTTTCCGTGTGAATTCTTTCAGAATGAGAAGCAAAGAGGTATTACCCACTCCAGATACCTAACATTTTGGCACTGTGACTTGAAGGAAAACCTTTGAACCACACATTTCAGGTAAGCCCAGATCGGGACACCCTTCTATCCCTGGAGCAGGCACACATCTCTGCCTCACTGACTCTTTGGTGCACTTTTCATTTTGGACTTCGCCTCACCACCTTTGAGAGACGAAGACGCTCTGGTGGCTGGGTCAAACTTTCTAAGTGTTGGACTTCAACTGCAAGGTGCGCAGTCTGCAACCACTAGTCTTCCTAAGATAGGGCCTTCTACCCCCAGGCACAGGCTGCAGACATCCCCAGGACCATTCGATTTGCCCTTTGGAGTTGCTGCCAGTGAGAACGTCGCCTGGGGCCATTGAGCCCCTTACTCCTCCACTTCCCGCCGCCATGTGTCTGCCTCTCTGCTCCACCATGTGTATGCCCTTTTGCTCTCCTGTGTTTACCTCCATGTTTCAATAAGCCTCCCTTCCTGTGATATGGTCAAGTTTCATGGCACCTTAGGTGTGGCACGCGCTGGGACTTCAGGTTATGACCCAGGGACATCAGGCTAACATTCCTGTTTTGTTTTCTAGATGGGCAATGATGGATCCGTTCCCAGGGGAACAGCATTACCCTGTCTAAATAGCATAGATTTGACCCGCAGACACTAGAGCAACGGAAGCTAATATTTTTCCGCAACACTCTCTGGCCTCGGCACATTCTAGGTGATGGGAAATCCTGGCCAACGAACGGCACACTTTCCTTTCCGACTGACTCAGCCAGAACGTTTCTGCAAAGGGATGGGGAAGTGGACAGAGTTCCCTCATGTGAAAGCATTTTTCCTCTTGAGAAATAGTAAAGACCATTGTTCTGAGTTTACCAAGGACCTGAAGGGGCCCTGAAGTGGAAAGTCTCTCTACCCACAGCCCAGCTGGACCACCCTCGGTCCCTGAACCTATAGAAGGTGGGGGGAAAAATGGCCCCGTCAAAGTTCTACTCTTAATCAAGGCAGCTGAGGAGTTTGGTTCCCGAGCAGTTCCCAAGCCTTTCACCCTAATTGAACTCAAGCAGATTAAGAGGGACCCAGGCAGCTAATCAGACAGTCCAAAACAGTACATAGAGAATTTTCTGTACCTCACCCTAGTCTATGACTTCGCATGGAAGGATGTAATGATCATTCCGGGACAGATTATGACAGACTTTGAGAAAAAGAGAGTGCTAAAGGGAGCTAGGAAGTTTGCAGAAAGTTAATGATAAGTATCCAATTGGAGAAACAGTTGTGTCTCCACCAACCCCACTTGGGATTATAATGATCCCAAAGACTGGTGGGCATGAGAACATTTTCCAGTGTGTATCAAAAATGGACTAAAATCAGGGCAGCAAAAGGCCATCAACTACACTAAAGTGACAGCTATTTACCAACGACCTAATGAAACTCCTGTAAGTTTCTTAGAGCAGGGGAGAAAATTCCTGAGAAAGCACACCACAGTAGACATACTTTTTAAGGGAAAATCCTATTCTAAGACAAATTTCTCACAAGGGTGCACCGGACATTTGGCAAAAGCTCCAGAAATTAGTGCAAAAGCCTGAGGGAGTTAGCTTAGAAGAGATGGTCACTAGTGCCAACGCAACCTTTTACAGTAAGTACAAGTAAAAAGAGCGAGAAGCCCAGGCTCAGGAGAAGGAGAGAAGGTATGTGCAGGTACTGGTCACAATTGCTAACCAATGCCCATTTACTGCCTCCCAGGTTTCTAAGACCCCTGAACACGGCACCAGGCATCATGTGTGCTGTTGTTCTGGTCACTGGGCAAGGGATTGCCCTAACCAGAATAGGCCCCTATGAGGGCCATGCTACCACTACAAACAAGCTGGCCATTAGGCATCGTTCTGTCCTATGAGAGACACCCAGAAGGGGAACCACCGCCAGGTGAGTGTGCAACTACTAAACTGCAGATTGAAATGGCCGAGCCTAGATGGCCCAGCAGTAGGAGATCACTATTACTGGTCTGGAGCCTCGGGTGAGTATACATGTGGCAGGTAGGTCAGTAAGTTTCCTCCTAGATACTAGGGCTGCCTACTCTGTCCTTACCTCCTTCCCCAGACCCCTGGCATCACACACTTGCACCATTATGGGAATGTTAGGAAAATCTGTAGTCAAACACTTTACAGAACCCTTATAGGTGCCTCTGGGGCAAGTTTTACTTCTCTCATAGATTTCCAGTAGTCCCTGAATGTCCATCTGCTCTTCTAAGCCGAGATGTATTGTCCAAGTTACACACCTACATAGTGAGAGGGCCTCATCCTAGTCCCATTATAGCTTTCCAAATGTTCCTTACTGCAGAGGAGCCGCTAAGCCCTATAAAGATACAATGGGAAAGTGCCATAAACCTTGAAGTCTGAGACCTGGGAGTCCCTGACAGGGTTAAATATGAAACCCTTGTAAAGATGTTCCTAAAAGACCCCACCCAGTTTCCCTGCCAGCAGCAATAACCTTTGAAAACCTGAAGACATCAAATAATTACAACCCCTTATTAATGAATTCCTTAGGCAAGGACTTTTGGTCCCTGTTAATTCCCCATGTACCATCCCAATATTACCAGTCAAAAAGAAAGACACATTTTACCGGCTGGTTCAAGACCTTAGGATAATAAATGAAGCAGTAATCCCACTGTACCCAGTAGTCCCTAACCCCTATACACTACTACGGGACATTCCTAATTCCAGACAGTTGCACAGCATCCTGGACTTAAAGGATGCCTTCTTCTCAGAGCCAGTTCCTTTTTGCTTTTTTTTTTTTGGCATTTAGAAAATACAGAACACTTCACTAACTTGTGTGTCATTCTTGCACGGGGGCCATGCTAATCTTCTCTGTATCATTCTAATTTTAGTATATGTGCTGCCGAAGCTAGCACTTCTTTTTGCTTTTAAGTGGAAATTAGAACAGGGGCAGTCACATCAAGAACAACAACAAAAATGAAGTTTCTAAATCTCTATCCCACTACAAAATTCAGGAGAAATCAAAAGGAGGGCATCTAATTTGTGCTAGAGTTTCACCCTCAATTACTTTGTTCCTTAATAAAATAGTCAATGACAAAGCTATCTTTCTCAGCAAGTGCCCAAATCCTCTATTCTTTCCCAAACATCATGGCTTGCTCCATCAGTCTGGAAGGTAAATTAACTGTCTGAGTATGACCCATCAGATAATTAAATCAGGCCTACCTTCTGCTACTTTCTACTCTTGATATAACAACCCACCTTTACTAAATGCCTTACAACATGCACACAGATTTCTGTAATTCCTTTGTGAAAGATACAGAGGTGTTTGCCAGGGATCAGTTAGTGGTTAATTAATTAATAGTAAATTGAAGCATCATACATCCTTCATCATTGTTTCAATGGATTGGAGATTTTTATGGTTAGTGGTGGTGTAATGGGTAAGTGTTTGGTCAGCAGTTCGAAACTACCAACAGCTCCTCGGGAGAAGACTGGGCTTTCAACTCCTGTAAACACAGTCTTAGAAACCACCAAAGGGGGGTGTCACTATGAGTTAGCACTGACTTGATGGCAGGGAGTTTTGTTTTGTTTTAGTTGCTTGGTTGGTATGGGTATAAACTTACCAGCACTCTGAACTGATGTTAGCTGAGCCTTTCTGTTCCATAAAGATTTACAGCCTCGGGAACTCACAGAGGCAGTTCTGTTTTATCCTATTGGATTGCTATGAGTCGGAATCAACTCAATGGCAAGGAGTTTGTTTTTGTTTTTATCTCTTGGTTTAATCAATCATCTATGAAGCTCATGATACTGGCTAAAGCCCAAGCTGACGTCTAAAGTGACGCTTCATTCTTTGAGCAGAGACTGGGCTGAACCACCTGTAGAGTCTACTGTCAAAACACCTGGCTCTATAACTTAGATTTAATTTAGAAAATATAACAAAGAATAAATATCAAAATCCTAATATTGACTGTATACTCTAGGATTACATTACAACTTATTTCCCTTTGTAAGCATTTGTAAGTTTTCTAATTTATCTACCATGAAGTGGAATATTATTAATTAACAGGTTTAACCTAATTTGAATACCAGACACTGAATCGAACATTTACTATGAAAATCTTGAATGGCGGTACAATGCTTTATTAAAATATAAACAGCATAACAAAAGGTACAGAAAGCTCTTTCCTTTAAAAAAAAAAAAGTTTTAAAAAGGAACAAGATTAAGCAGCTGACAAATAAAGCTTACACAAGGCCCCAAATTTGTATTTGATCATGTCAAGAAACAAAGCAAGGAGAGAGGAAAAGTTCCTCAGGTATCCATATCAAAAAAGTAGGAACGATTCCTCTCCTTCACTGGCAAAAATGTTTAACCTAGTACCAAATATGAAATTAATTCCAAGTATCATGTTGGAACTAAAATACATAAACAAAAAAGAAACTTCATTTTTGTTGTTGTTCTCGATGTTTGGGCCGGTCAGACCATGCAGCCACCTCCCCCAGCTCCCTAAAGATAGCCTGCTGGACTGTGTGCCCCCCACCCCCCTATCAAGGCCAGAGCTCGGCTGTGCAGTCCCTGCCTGCAGCATTCCAAGGAGCTTATCTCTCCGGGCGGGGTCTGTACAGCCCCTTCCTTCAGTGTTCCAGGAGGATTTACTCACAGACCACATCCTGATTCAGCCCCTGCAACCAGAAGGCCTTCATTCCCCTTATCAGTACATCTGTCTTTGGCTCAAGACACGCCCTATATATGTCCCACTGCCTCGCTGCCAGGCACGATTTCCCTGACCTAACTCATTGGGTCTCGGAACCCATCCGGGGGCTCAAGATGCCCCCATCCCTTTTTCTGCTCTCCCTTCCCTCCCTGGAGTTCTTCCCCTGACTCAATAAAATCTTTCTCAACTTCACATTCCTCGCTAAATTCTATCTCTGTTCCGTGCTTCCGTCTCCAACCTCTCAGTCGAGTTTTCTGTTTTTGTTAGTATGCGACCACCAAAGTAAACTGGAGTTGTTCATAACAAGTGGGCAAGCAGATCCTAGCCTGTTCTGGCTTAATCCTAGTCCCACTTAATCTTAGCCCCCAAAGCAGTTAATACTAACATGGCCCTGCTCAATACCTGCCTTCATGAAGAGATGAGGCATACCAGCCTGTGTGAACCAAAGATGATAACAAACTCCAAATATGATGAAGGAAAAGTATCAGACCTTAAATTGTGAACACCTCATTTGTAGAAGGCTATGGAGGATGGTAGGAGTCCAAAGTCCATCTACAGAGTATCTAGTCAGATTAAGCCTCTAGCAGATCCCCATAGGCAAGGGGCTCAAACAGTATACTATCAGAAAGAGATGATTGTAAACTTGATTATAATGGATTGAACCATGGTTAGCTTCCCTTGGATACTTCGCTCTTGACTCAATCTGAATTTGGTCTAGGTTTAAATATTTCTCGCTGTTCCACGACAGAAATTTCTGCTCTGGTTTTTGTTGTTGGTCTTTTCTTTCTTACTCTTTTCATTTTTATTTTTGTTATCATTTTTGCTTTATTTCATTTTTTGTTTTATATTGTTTCTGTTAGGTTGCCCAGTTTATGAAGCACAGAAAGAGCAAATGCATAGAAAACAACTGATGCAATGGTTTATCAGGGATGGGGGATGGGGAAGCCGAGCGCATCTGGGGAGCAAATAATGAATGCAAGAGCAGGGAGGGACCACTTGAACTGATTGTGACAATGTATATAGAACTCCCTTTGGCTCTCTGCTTTCCCTTATGCAACAGGCAGCAGCATCTTCCCTTGCAGTCCCAGCCACATCTCAGGGACACAATAGTACAGGTCAGAGTAAATCAGATTTGGCCAAACTTGGTGCACCAAGTCACCAGGGCTGCTTGCGTCGATTAAGCTGTACGACATGGTCTATCCGTTCCTGTACAATTCTGCCCATGGTAAGTTCAATGGCCCCATCCAGGCTGCAAACAGGAAAATGATCATCAATGGGATGCTATCTCTATCTTCCAGAAGTAAGATCCTGCCAGCCAACATCAAGTGGGGTGAAACTGGTGTTGAGTATTTTGCAGGGCCCACTGGTGTCTTCATAATCATAGAGAAAGCTGGGGCTCACTTGAAGTGTGGTGTCAAAAAGGTGATCACCAACTCACTCACTGCCTCACTCTCCCTCACTCACTGCCTCCCTCCCTCACTGCCTCCCTCACTCACTGCCTCACTCTCTCAGTCACTCACTCTCTCACTGCCTCCCTCTCTCACTGTCTCCCTCTCTCACTGTCTCACTCTCTCACTGCCTCACTCTCACTCTCTCACTCTCTCACTGCCTCACTCACTCACTGCCTCACTCTCTCACTGTCTCACTCTCATGCACTGACACACTCACTCACTGACACACTGACTCACACTTATCCACTCACTCACTGCCAGTCACTGACTCACTCACTGTCTCACTCACTGCCTCCCTCTCTCACTGTCTCCCTCTCTCACTGTCTCCCTCTCTCATGTCTCACTCACTCACTGTCTCACTCTCATGCACTGACACACTGACTCACTGACACACTGACTCACTTATCCACTCACTCACTGCCTCACTGTCAGTCACTGACTCACTCTCTGTCTCACTCACTCA